CATAGTGGTGAGCGCAGTTGCCCTACAACAATTTGAGTTCACGGTGTTGTCGATACAAGTACACCAATGTTAACGCAGCAGTAGCAGCATATTTTATTTAAGTAACGTAACACAGATAAGTGGACAATTTGCCTCCTTCAAATTTGCGTCTTCAACAATTATACATCATCACTATTATAATGACGTGAAACACCCAAATATAAAATCCCTGGGTTAGATATTCCACGAAGCTCACGGCCCCCACCCTCAACCGCATCCACCGCACAAACCACGGCAGTGGATGCGGACAGCTGATGATGCACAAATGGAAAAATGTAGACCTGTCTGGTGGTGAACGACTGTGGTGAAGAACCAGTGGCATCTACATCTGCAGAACGTGAAGAACCAGTGGCATCGACATATGTAGAACGTGAAGAACCAGTGGCATCTCCATCTGCAGAACATGAAGAACCAGTAGCATCTACAACTGCAGAACGTGAAGAACCAGTGGCATCTACATCTCCAGAGCGTGAAGAACCAGTGGCATCTACATCTGTAGACCGGACCGTGAAGAACCAGTGGTAACTACATCTGCAGAACGTGAAGAACCAGTGGCATCTACAACTGCAGAACGTGAAGAACCAGTGGCATCTACATCTGCAGAACGTGAAGAACCAGTGGCATCTACATCTGCAGAACGTGAAGAACCAGTGGTATCTACATCTGCAGGACGTGAAGAACCAGTGGCATCTACATCTGTAGACCATGAAGAACCAGTGGCATCTACATCTACAGAACGTGAAGAACCAGTGGCATCTACATCTGCAGAACGTGAAGAACCAGTGGTATCTACATCTGCAGGACGTGAAGAACCAGTGGCATCTGCATCTGCAGAACGTGAAGAACCAGTGGCATCTACATCTACAGAACGTGAAGAACCAGTGGCATCTACATCTGCAGAACGCGAAGAGCCAGTGGTATCTACATCTGCAGGACGTGAAGAACCAGTGGCATCTGCATCTGCAGAACGTGAAGAACCAGTGGTATCTACATCTGCAGGACGTGAAGAGCCAGTGGCATCTGCATCTGCAGAACGTGAAGAATCAGTGGCATCTACATCTACAGAACGTGAAGAACCAGTGGCATCTACATCTGCAGAACGTGAAGAACCAGTGGTATCTACATCTGCAGGACGTGAAGAACCAGTGGCATCTGCATCTGCAGAACGTGAAGAACCAGTGGCATCTACATCTACAGAACGTGAAGAACCAGTGGCATCTACATCTGCAGAACGTGAAGAACCAGTGGTATCTACATCTGCAGGACGTGAAGAACCAGTGGCATCTGCATCTGCAGAACGTGAAGAACCAGTGGCATCTACATCTACAGAACGTTAAGAACCAGTGGCATCTGCAGAACGTGATGAACCAGTGGGATCTACATCTGCAAAACGTGAAGAATCAGTGGCATCTACATCTGTAGACCGTGAAGAACCAGTGGCATCTACATCTGCAGAACGTGAAGAGCCAGTGGTATCTACATCTGCAAGACGTGAAGAACCAGTAGCATCTGCATCTGCAGAACGTGAAGAACCAGTGGCATCTACATCTACAGAACGTTAAGAACCAGTGGCATCTACATCTGCAGAACGTGAAGAACCAGTGGTATCTACATCTGCAGAACGTGAAGAACCAGTGGCATATACATCTGTAGACCGTGAAGAACCAGTGGCATCTACATCTCCAGAACGTGAATAATCAGTGGCATCTACAAATGCAGAACGTGAAGAACCAGTGGCATCTACAACTGTAGACCGTGAATAACCAGTGGCATCTACATCTGCAGAACGTGAAGAACCAGTGGCATCTACATCTCCAGAACGTGAAGAATCAGTGGCATCTACAAATGCAGAACGTGAAGAACCAAGTGGCCTATACATCCACAGGAGATGATACAACTCTTAAACCCATTCCCCGTGTTTAGTGTGCATGCCGTACAACACGTTTGGAATAGACAGGAGTCCCGTAAAGTTGGACTGTACGAACCAAAGCGACTTACGAACAAACCTCTGAAACCTTAACGCGTTCGTAAGAAGAGGAGTCCCCGTGTCAAATATTGTTTTTAAAAAATGACGTTACCCACTCCCCCCCCCCCAAAAAAAAACAGCGTTGTGGCGAAACTCAGCTGCTCCGTCCCTGGTAGAACGAGGCGAGAATTGACATCACTCAGTGGTGACGAGGGCCTTGTTTGTGTTCACGTGTCGTGTCGAGCCGCTGCGCACATATGCAAGATATCCTGCGGTATTGTACCAATGCGTCGCGTGAGTGTTCGCAGGGAACGCGTTTGATGTGTGAGCGAGTGTGTCTGTGTGTGTTTGTGTCTGTGTGGTGGAGGTGGGGGAGGGGGTGGGAGCGGTGGCGCAGTGGTTAGCGCGCTGCTCGCTTGAAACCGGCCACCGGAGTGATTCCCCGCTCGTGGCCACCAACATCAGTGACGATTATCTGAATCGGTGTTGGGCCTCCCCCTAGGTCGACTCAGCCTCAAATGAGTAACTGGTGCGGTGTGTAAAACATCGCCACTGGGGATACAAAGGCGGCCGGGCGTGGTGTTGGCCACCCACCCCCTCGTGTGCCGTGCCGGCCTTTGTAGGTGCTGCTCGCTAACAGCACTTGCCCCATCAGTCTGTTAAGGCTTAACACGCAGTAGGCTTTCGCGACCAATATCATCCATAATACAGGATTTTAGGTTATATCGCGTAAATAATGTCTTTTTTTGGGGTTAGATCCCGTAGATAATTCAGGGTTTTTTTGGGTTAGACCGCGTAAACAATACAGACTTGTTTGGGTTACATCGCGTAAATAATACTGATTTTTGTTGGGTTCAATCGCGTAAATAACCCAGTATTTTTGTAGGTTAGATGGCGTAAATAATACAGGTTTGTTTGGGTTAGATGGCGTAAATACATCCCTGTATTATGGAGTAGGCGGGCTTCCCCCACCCACCCTCCGCTTTCTATCGGCGTTAGCGTCTCACTCCACGGGAGGCGAATTACTCGGTTAACCGATGGCGGTGGTGGAGGGGGGGGTGGTTGTGAGCGTGAATCCCATCAGACCTCCGCGCTCTCAGATTCGAACATTTATAATTTGTTATTATTTGAATGGACCTTTATTTGTAGATGTTTAACGAGATTCTCGCACCCGGCACGCGCGTCACATGCAGTATTTACACAAATTCAACTTCCTCGCGATGCCCGTGGGCTCCTGGCCAGTCGATCACGAACAACCTACCCCAAGTCCATCCCCGGCCCCCAGCGAAATGTCCAGCGAGGAACGAGGCCCTGGCTATGAACACGAGACTCGACTACATTTGTGACACACACACACGCGAAATGTCCAGCGAGGAACGAGGCCCTGGCTATGAACACGAGACTCGACTACATTTGTGCCACACACACACGTTTGTTTCAGCTGCCCGGACAAATACAACAAGCAAAGGTCCCCCGTACAGCCTTAACGGGCTGTTTGGGGCAAGTGCCGCTGCCGCTGCTACTGCTGTGTGTGGCCACCAACACCCCCGGTCGCCCTTTGTCTCTCCCGAGCGGCGATGGTCACACACCGCACGAGGCTGAGTCGACCTTGGGGAAGGAAGCCTTGGACCGGTTCGCCACTGGGGTTGGCCGTGAGCGAGAATCAAAGTCGGGACGCCAACTCGCACACACAGAACGTAGCCACCCCCCCCCACCCCCGTATAGAGTGTGGGTAGCGCATCGCTACGAACCCCGGCGAGCCAAGTTCGACTCTCGCTCACTGCCAACGTCGCTGGAAAAACAAAATCAAAACCGGTCCCCTTTAGATCGACTCGGCCCTTAAACGAGTTAACGGCAGCTGGCGCGATGCGTCACCGTCAGCACTCGGGAGAGACAAAGGCGGCCGGGCGTAGGTCTGCCCCATAACCTTCCGCGAGTGCCGGACCCAGATTGGTGCTCGCTCCCAGAGCCCACTTGCCCCGAGAGACGAAGGAGGTTACTCGGGGGATCTTTGCCTCCCTCTGTGAGTGTGTCGTGTCGTGTGTCGCCTTCGGGTCAGAGTGGGGGGCGCTAAGAGGTCAGCGCGCCGCGCTACGAACCCGGCGACCCGAGTTCGATTCCCGCTCACGGCCAACACTCAGTGACGATTATCTGAACGGGTCATGGGCCTCCCATAGGTCGACTCAGCCTCAAATGAGTACCGTGTGTGTAAAACATCGCCGCTAGGGAGACAAAGGCGACCGGGCGTGGTGCTGGCCACCAAGCCCCTCGCGTGTCGTGCCGGCCTTAATAGGTGCTCGCTAACAGCACTTGCCCCAACAGTCTGTTTAGGCTATCCGGGAGGGTTTTGTCTTTGTGTGTGGATGTGATAGTTTGTGTGTGTGTGGATGTGATCGTTTGTGTGTGTGTGGATGTGATCGTTTATGTGTGTGTGGATGTGATAGTTTGTGTGTGTGGATGTGATAGTTTGTGTGTGTGTGGATGTGATAGTTTGTGTGTGTGGATGTAATAGTTGTAATAGTTTACGTGTAGTTTGTGTGTGTGTGGATGTGATAGTTTATGTGTGTGTGTGATTGGCTAAGTGTTCTCATTGAGTAGAGTGTGTGTTTAAAGCGCGCGCGTGTGTGTATTAGCCAGTTCGTGGAAGTGGATGTAATAGTTTATGGCTGCATTTGTGTGTGTGTGTGTGTTGATCAAGTGTGAGTGTCTATGAGTCTAAACTCATAGAGCAACCCGCGTTACGAGTTTAGATTCCCGCTCACGGCCAACACCAGTGGCGAATATCTGAACCGGTCCTGTGCCTTCCCGGCCCTTAGGTCGACTCAGCCTCAAATGAGTACCTGGTGAGGGGATTGGTGCTCGCGACGCAGCACTTACCCCAAAAACACTCTTTAAATTAAAAAAAGTAAATCCGGGGGGGTCTTTGTCTTTTGTGCGTGTGACCACCATCCCTTTCCTACACCCCCAACATCTCTCTCTCTGTCTCTGTCCACAGACGTGGAGAAGCTGCAGACGGGCAAGGGTGGTGTTGGTGGTGGTGACGACTTGGGGGGGGTGGTCGGAGCGGGTCCCGGTGGCCACGGGGTTGCGCCTCCCGCCGCCTCCGGCGGCGGCGTCGAGGACCCGTCCAAGAAGAAGCGACAGCGGCGGCAGCGGACGCACTTCACGTCGCAGCAGCTGCAGGAGCTGGAGGCGACCTTCCAGCGCAACCGCTACCCGGACATGTCCACGCGGGAGGAGATCGCGGTGTGGACCAACCTCACCGAGGCGCGCGTGCGGGTACGGGCGGTGGTGGAGGAGGAGGAGGAGGTGGTGGTGGTGGTGGTGGGGGGGAAGTGGTGGGGGGAGGTGGGGGTGGGGGGAGGAGTGACGCACGAATGGGCAGATTTTATTTTTTTTTCTGCTGGAGGAATCCGATGAGCTTCGAAGGCTCTTTGTGACGTGACGGCACGTCGCAGACGTCACACGAGGCGCGTGCTGTAATGCTGAACTTCTTTCGCACCGTACGTAGCCAACCGCAGGCAGGTGCGGGGTGAAGTTGGGTGGGTTAAGTAGAGGTGGGAGGGGGGGTTAGTGGGGGGAGGGGGGTAGTGGGGGGGGGGTGGTAAAAGTACCGCGCATTGACACAAATCAGTGCGTTCGTGGTGGTGGAGGGGTGTGGGAGGGGGTATTTGTGGGGGGAGGGGAGGGGGAAAGTGGGGGGGGGGGAGGTGGTGGGGTGACGCCAACGAGCACACGCACGGCTCACGGCTGGTGGCCCCTTTGTCAGACGCCGTACGACAGAAGAAGAGGGGAGGGGTGGGGGGCCGGGGTGGAGGGTAGGGGGGGGTGCAGTGGTGGGGGAGGAGGAGGCCATTGGGGGCAGGGGGAGGTACGGGCGATATTGGGGGAGGCACTCCGCGGTTAATCGGTTACCGGTAATCGGGGCCGAATCTTTGCATCCCTGCTGATGGTGATGACGTCTGTGATGATAATGATGATGTCTGTGATGATAATGATGACGTCAGTGATGATAATGATGAAGTCTGTGATGACGTCTGTGATGATGATGACGTTTGTAATGATGATGTCTGTGATGATGATGTCTGCGATGATGACGTCTGTGATTATGATGACGTCTGTGATGATTATGCCCGTCTGTGATGATGATGATGATGACGTCTGTGATGATGATGATGATGACGTCTGTGATGATGATGATTACGTCAGTAATTATGATGACGTCTGTGATGATTATGCCCGTCTATGATGATGTCTGTGATGATGACGTCTGTGATGATGATCATGATGACGTCTGTGATGATGATGACGTCTGTAATGATGATGATATCTGTCAATGACGAGAAGCCTATCTCTGCGTGACTGCTGCTGTCAGCCGTCAGTCGTGGAGCGGCGATGTGTTTGGGGGGTGGGGGAGGTGGTTACATTATCTCAGAATCACTTTGATGGTGACCGAATAGAAGACTTCAACAGGAACTTCTGATGGGGGTCTTGTTTTCATAATGCACAAAAGCGATGTACTTTTGACAAATGTTTGCGTGCCGTTTGATACTGCTGATGACACTGATTGCGCCGCTGCTGATGCTGTTGGTGCTGATGATGAGGATTATGATGCCACTGCTGCTGCTGTTGATGCCGCTGCTACTACTGATGATGGTGCTAATGGTGCCCTTGCTGTTGCCACAGCTGATATTGCTGCTGCTACTGCTGCTTAATGTTGTTGACGATATCGCTGCTGCTGATGATGATGATGCAGCTGATGATGATGTTGCTGCTGCTGATGATGCAGCTGATGATGATGTTGCTGCTAATGCTGCCGATGATGATGTTGCTGATGATGATGCTGCTGATGATGTTGCTGACGCTGCTGCTGCTGCTGCTGTGTACAAGATGCGAGCGCGCCGCTGCCAGGAGCGACGCGTCGCGAGTGCGCGCGCGACGTCTCCGCTTTCCCGGCAATCCACGTCGCGCGCGCACTCGCGCCGAGAGATAAAAATAGAGACGGGGGAGGGCGGGGGGAGTCCTCGGGGGAGACGTGGGGGAGACGTGGGGGAGACGTGGGAGAGACGTGGGGGAGACGTGGGAAGACGTGGGGAGACGTGGGGGACACGTGGAGGAGACGTAGGGGAGACGTGGGAGAGACACGCAGAGACGTGCGGGAGACGTGGGGGAGACGTGGAGGAAACACACAGAGACGTAGGGAGACGTGGGGAGACGTGGAGGAAACACACAGAGACGTAGGGAGACGTGGGGAGACGTGGAGGAGACACACTGAGACGTGGTGGAGACGTGGGGGAGGGAGAAATGGAGGAGACGTGGGGAGACGTGGGGGAGACGTGGAGGAGACACACAGAGACGTGGTGGGGGGGGGTCTAAAGGCTAAGACAGGGAGACTGCTTTACAAGGAGACCGAGAGTCGTGGTGGTGGTGGGGGGGGGGGGCAGGGTTGGCTCTGTGCCGCATTCACGGCGTGCGGAGCGAAGCGGCGCCCCCCCCCCCCCCGTGTGCTCTGCCCCCCATCCCCAGTGCTCACCGCCCTCTCCGCGTCTCTTCCCTCCCGACGTCTCCCCAACACACACACACGTACACACATACACACACACATACACACACATGTACACACACACATACACACATACATACACACACATACACACACACGTACACACATACATACACACATACACATACATACACACATACACACACATACACACACACGTGCACACACACACACGTACACACACGTGCACACACACATACACACACACACGTACACACACACACACACGTACACACACACACGTACACACACATACACGTACACACACACATACACGTACACACACACGTACACACACACACACGTACACACACGTACACACACACACGTACACACACGTACACGTACACGCACACACGTGCGCACAGATCTGGTTCAAGAACCGCCGCGCCAAGTGGCGCAAGCGCGAGCGCAACCAGCAGGCGGAGCTGTGCAAGAACGGCTTCGGGGCGCAGTTCAGCGGCTTCATGCAGCCCTACGAAGACGTCTACTCAGCCGCCAGCTACGGCTACAACAACTGGGCCAAGGCGCTGCAGCCCTCGGCGGCGCCGCTCTCAAAGAACTTTCCCTTCTTCAACTCGGTCTCGCCGCCGGTCTTCTCGCCGCCCTGCACCACGGGCATGGCCGCGGCCGCCGCCGTCGCCTCCTCGTCCATGATGCCCCAGCACCACCCGGGCATCGGCAACCTGAGCGCCTCGCCCGTGGCCACGAGCCCCGCGTCGGGAGCCAGCGGCTGCCCGTACGCGGTGGCGGCTCACGCGGCCGGGGCCCCCGCGCCGCCCTACGTGTACCGGGGCGACCCCTGCAACTCGAGCCTCGCCAGCCTGAGGCTCAAGGCCAAGCAGCACCACTCCAGCTTCGCCGGGTACGCGGGGCTGCAGGCGCCGCCGTCCAATTTCAGCGCGTGCCAGTACGCCGTGGACCGGCCCGTCTAGCGTGCTCGCCGTGGTCCTCGGTGGGCGCGGGGGCTCTGGGGAGAGGGGGGTCTTAGGGGGGGGGGGCTCTGGGGGAGGGGGGGGGCTGCTCACCCCCGGTCGGTTGGAGGCGCTGACCGAACGTCGCCGATCTGTGCGAGGCAAGCCACGCTGGTGGCGATGTGGCCCTACCGCTGCCCCCTTCTCCATCCCCTCCCCCACCCCTCTCCTCCACCGAATCCCCGCGATGATCATCGTCGCCTACGACCACAACCACTACCACCAACAACAACAACAACCACCACCACCACCACCCACCGTCCCATTGGGCCCTCCTCCTTCTTGACTCGGCGCAAGGAGTGGGGAGACAAAGAAGGGCGAGGCGGCTCGCTCACGTCCTCACGCACCCGATGCCTCGCTCAGCCAAGCGCCTTCGCTCGCACTACAGCTCGCACGAACGCCGTCACTCGGCACGCTTGGTCGAGCTCATCGACTCACTCAACAACTTTCACTCAACAACTCTCAACAACTCTCACTCAACAACTCTCACTCAACAACTTTCACTCAACAACTCTCACTCAACAACTCTCACTCACTCAACAACTCTCACTCACTCAACAACTCTCACTCAACAACTCTCACTCAACAACACTCACTCAACAACTCTCACTCAACAACTCTCACTCACTCAACAACTCTCACTCAACAACTCTCACTCAACAACTCTCACTCAACAACTCTCACTCAACAACTCTCACTCAACAACTCTCACTCAACAACACTCACTCACTCAACAACTCTCACTCACTCAACAACGCTCACTCAACAACGCTCACTCAACAACACTCACTCAACAACTCTCACTCACTCAACAACTCTCACTCAACAACACTCACTCAACAACTCTCACTCACTCAACAACGCTCACTCAACAACGCTCACTCAACAACACTCACTCAACAACTCTCACTCACTCAACAACTCTCACTCACTCAACAACACTCACTCAACAACACTCACTCAACAACACTCACTCAACAACGCTCACTCAACAACACTCACTCAACAACTCTCACTCAACAACACTCACTCAACAACTCTCACTCAACAAATCTTACTCACTCAACAACTCTCACTCAACAACACTCACTCAACAACTCTCACTCAACAACTCTCACTCAACAACACTCACTCAACAACTCTCACTCACTCAACAACGCTCACTCAACAACACTCACTCAACAACACTCACTCAACAACTCTCACTCAACAACGCTCACTCAACAGCGCTCACTCAACAACTCTCACTCACTCAACAACTCTCACTCAACAACACTCACTCAACAACTCTCACTCACTCAACAACTCTCACTCACTCAACAACTCTCATTCACTCAACAACACTCACTCACTCAACAACACTCACTCAACAACTCTCACTGGCTCGCCCATGCTCACCCACTGACCGCTCGCTCTTCAGCTCACTCTTCTGCTCACTCGCTCGCTCACTCTTTCAATATTCATTCCCTCACCTCCGGCGTGCGCGCGATGGACTTTGGTTCTGTAGCTTAGAGCACAGAGAACCACTGCCTCCATAAGCTTCCATCCTACTCTCCTCCTCCTGCTGGTGGTGGTGGTGATGGTGGTGCTACTGCTGATGGGTGCTGGTGTATTGATGGTGATGGGACTGGTGTGGTGATGGGGCGCGTCGTGGATAAGCTGATGTACCCCCCCCCAACTCCATCGCCATCACCGCCCTCAGGGTGGTGATGGCGGTGAGCAATGGAGCAAAAGGCCGGATACCAACGAACATCACCACCACCATCACCGACATCACCCCGCTCTCCGTGATGGCTGTGCGTTGATGGGAGAGTGACGGAGAATGACGGACAGTTAGAGAGAGCTAGAGAGAGAGCGGCGCTTGTGAACATCGCCGCCACCGCCGCTGACACCGATAGCGATGGTGTGATGATGGAGGGGGCTTGTGAGGCACGGTGACGACGGACCGGACGAGACGTCCATGAAACATCACCGCCGTCACCGCCATCACCGCCGTCACTGCTGCCCTGCACGTGGTGGAGCGATGGACCAGTCAAGAGACAGACGCCCACGAACATCGTCACCTCCCCTAGCCGTATCGTCTGTTCTTCCTGACGCCCCTCGAGAGAACAGGACGGGGGGAAAAGGGGGTGTAATGATATGGGGGGGTGAGGGGGCCCCCCTACCCCCCCCCCCCCGAGCCTCTGTGACCCCCGCAGTGAGAGTCGAGTCATGGGGAGACGTGATTCATACACGCGGCACAACCGCGTGTGTAACAGCCATTACCTGTGTGGATGTGTCACTGTGCGTGTGTGTATGACTCTGTGTGTGTGTGTAAGCGTGTATTTGTATGAGTGCGCGTGTCATGGTGTACGTGTCTGTGTGTGTATGTATATATATGTATGTTTGCTAGTCATCTCAGTCAGTCGACCCATAACACCTGGGACTGTCCTGTGACCTGCCAGCAGCGAGCCTTACACACTTCACGTGACAACCTCAAAGTGCACCTAGCTTGGCACAAGCGGTGTGGCGGCGTCACCGCCACGCCGTGGCGAACTGCGGCTTTGTTATCTTCTGGGTGTGCGCTTGAGTCCGTGCGTGTGCGTCTTTGTAGGCGTTTATGGAGAGTGGTGGTGCAGCGGTCAGCGCACTGCGCTACGAACCCGGCTCTCCCGAGTTCGATTCCCGCTCTCGCAGCCAACGCCTGCGACGAATGTCCGAACCGGTCTTGGGCCTCTCCTAGATCGGCTCGGCCGTAAATGACCACGTGGTGCAGTGTTTAAACATCAGGATTGGGGAAACATGGGCAGCCGGTTGTGTGTCGTGCCGACCTTCATAGGTGCTCGCTAACAGCACTTGCCCCGACAGTCTGTTGCAGGCTATACGGGGGATCATTGTATTTGTTGTGCATGTGTGTATGTACAGACTCGGCACAGTAGGGGGTACAGCTGATGCATCTGTCAGTCACCTCAGTCAGTCGACCCATGGCACCTGTGCCTGTCCGGGAGACCTCCGATGAGCGAGAGCCTTCGACACTCAATGTGCACCTAGCCTGGCACAGGCGCCGCGGTGACGTCACGGGCACTGAGTGGCGAATGGCGGCCGCTGTTGTTGTGCGTGCCCATGTGTGTCTTAGTCTTTGTGTGCGCGCGTTCACGTGCGCGCGCGTTTTGAGTTTGGCCTTCATAGGTGCTCGCTAACATCCCCTGCCCCAACATCGTGTGTAGGCTACACGCCGGCATGGGGCACCTTTGTCTTTGTGTACGACTCAAACCCCCCCCCATCGTCACCCGCAGAAGGCGGTGGCGTGACCTCCTGCCGACCGAGTTCTCCGCCACTGACACGCGGCACTCGACGTGCACCTAGCCTGGCACCGCAATGACGTCACGAGTCGTGTCACCCCTCCCGCCCCCGCGGTGTCGCGGTTGTTCGGTCTCGACTGATCGTAAGCGAACTTTCCACAGTAGTATGGACACGTCGTCGCTTGTTGTGTTTTGGGGAGGCGGGGGGGGGAGGAGGAATCGGTTATATTTTTTGAGTTTTGCAAAATAGCGATAATGACATTAGCGCGGGAGTGATATTTAAACAGTGGGGGTGTGTGGGGGGGGGCAATGCACGGCGGAGGGGTGTAGAGATCACGCCTTCCACTCTGCGAATAACCGCGTCGATTCAGTGAAGGATCGATTATATTACGTTGTTGCCATTGTGGTCTATGAGCCAATCACACGTGAGGTATTTGAATCGATAAATCTGTGTCCGCGCGCATGGGTCGATGCATGTGTTTCGTGTAAGCCGCTGTTTGAATCGATTAATCGTTATTTGCCCGGGCCCCTTCCAAATGTTACAAAAAAAAATCGCTCCCTACAATCCCTGCGTTACCCCATCGTGTGCACGTGTGTAAGAGGAGGGTGGGGGGGGTATAGTGAGATGGTGGTAGATGTGGGGGGGGGGAGCAGATACACGCGCCCCCCAATCCACCCCCCCCCCCACCTGATGTCACCACCACCACTACACATCGCCATCGCTTCCTTCCCTCCGCCAGATCCCACCGTAGTCGCACGGGCGATATCCCGTGACCCCTCCATTTGTCCTCTGAAGCCGACTTGACATAGCCGAGCGATCAGTCGCATGCAACTCGATTGAATGCAACTCGGTTGGCGTGCAAGAGACTCGCTTGTAATGTGGACGTCTCTGCAACCGGTTGCGAGCAGTTGGGCAACCCCCCCCCCCCCCGGGCATCCCCCCCCCCCCCCCCCCCCAGATTCCTGCTACTCAATGTCCAGACTCCACTCTCAAGCGGCGATCCGCTCGACGATTCGCAGCCACGTGCTGCACACTTTGTGGAACTCTGATTGGTCGTTACGATGCTGATGCGGGTGAGGGGAGGGGGTGGAGCTAATCAAAGGGGGCGTGACTATGCTGTCAAGCGGGGGCGGGGTCAAACACGAGCCACGCCCGTGCTAATTGTGAAACTTCTTGCCCAGATGTGAACTCGGATGGAGTCCAATTCCACTCATGATAGTTTTAGATTGGAGGGGGTGGGGTGGAGGTTGGTTTGGATGCACCCCCCCTCCTGCACCAGTACACACACGCACAACACGTATTAGATGGTGCCCCTCCCCCCTGAACCCCTTTACTGTTACATAAAATCGCCACTGGTAGTTGGTGGTCGTATCCACCCCCCCCCCCCCCTCTAACACAGACACGGGAGCAATGACCTACCCGCCCCCTTCGTTAGCCTATACCCTCGTTACCCTACGTTACCTTACCCCGTTACCCACTTCGTTACGCGAGCCCCGTTACGCGACCTCGTCTTAATCTCTGCTTCCTCACGCGTGCTCGCCGCGTACAAAGTGAATCGATGACGACGATGACGACGATGACGATGATGATGACGACGTTTGGCAAGAAGTCCTCTCGTCACCCGTGCGCGTTTGCTTGAGCGCGCGTGTGTGCGCCCAACTCCACCGTGTGTTGAACACATCGTGACAACAACAACAACCACACACACGCGCGCAAAATATTAAACAAACAAAACCACGGACTATCTAAGTGTTCACCAGTCGGGGGGGAGGGGTAAGACTTTATCCTCTCTATTTCACGATGATGATGCTGATGATGTTAATGATGATGTTAGTAATTGCTGATGATGATGATTTTCTGGGGAGGCTATGTACATTACAGGCATAACGGTTTATAAACTCGCTAGCAGACGCTTTAAGATTATCAGCGATCCAGTCCTCATTTTGTTTTGTTGTATTTTCTTTCTCCTTCCAAACTCATTCCACGTTTTGTGTTGTCCCCAGCATCGCTATAATTTACTAAACAAACCGACGAGCAGAAATAACAAGGATAACGACGACAGTTACCTGTATTTATTTTTTGAAAGTCTTCTCCGTAATCCAATCGCTATCGATACATTTTTACATTATGTAATAATTATTATTACTAGCTACGCGCCCTTGTAAAAAAAAAGCGGTGGACTAGTTGCTGCGCGTGCTCTCCTGTCGCCAGGACCACCTGGCCATTGTGAATGCGGGAGATGTCTAAATGAAGATGAACTTTCAGAGATG